AGCCACTCCTCGGAAGGAAGATGGGGCAATCTACTTCCATAGTGATACTGCCTCGGAAACCCAAGGAGGGGTCGCTATGAGTCGGGTCCGACTCGATGGCACATAACAACAACAACAACAACAACGATTAGATGTGAAGTAGATATTGTTCCCTATTTCTTATTAATTCCCTACTCATTAACAGGCACTCTGATGATGCAGTGGTTAAAGCATTAGGCTGCTAACCAAAAGGTTGGTGGTTCAAGCCCACCAGCTGTTCCACAGGAGAAAGACAACACAGAGTCTGGTTCCATAAAGATTTATAGCCTTGGAAACCCTATGGGGGTGGTTCTGCTTTGTCCTATAGGGTCACTATGAGTCAGAACCAACTTGATAGCAGTTGGTCTGGTCTCGACTCATGAGCATCTAGTTTACAAACATATATGTAAATGACCATTGCCATTCTTACATGACGTGCACACCACTGCTGCTTTCTATAGCCAAAGGTACTACTGCCGTTCCGAAACCACTACCTTGGCCCCAGCCGATCTTCCTGTCTACCCTTACTGTAGTTCTCTCCCCAGCTTTTCTAGTGCTCTGTACCAATCACACCCTGGGTAAGTAACCCCATTAAGTTCCTCTGTTGAGTGGGAATAAAATTGTGTTTCATTCACCCAAGCTGAAACCTAGAATGAAGTTTCCTTTCAATGCGCTGATGGATAGGTTTTATAGTACCATCAGCATTGTGGCTTGAATATACTGAGTTAAATTAACATTGGCTTGAAAACATGATGCAGTTTCTAACGTATCTATGGAAATATTTGGAACAGAATCCAAACTACTGATTTTAAAACAGTTTAAAGTGTAACCACCATATAAATTAGGAACTCTAGTAGGGGTCATGTTTTTAAACAGCCTTTAAGTTTCTGGTAACTTAATTCAATAATTACTCGTTTTGTATGAATAAACCCAATGGAACTGTCCTGAGTTGTGGTATCTCAGTCTTTAGCTTGGGTTATTAAGAAAATACTATCAACTTCTGCTTTTACCTTCTCTACAAGTTCTAAGAAAGACTTCTAAAACTCCATACTATTTACATTTACGTTTACTACTTACTTTAGCTATTAAATTGCAAGACGTCTGCTTTTACCTTCTCTGTTAAGTTCTAAGAAAGACTTCTAAAACTCCTTACTATATTACATTTACATTTACTACTTACTTTAGCTATTAAATTGCAAGACGTAAAAAAAAAAGACTTTGAGACTGAAGAGAAGGACAAGATAGCTACTATGTTATGGCTGTGGTCCTGCCCATGATGACAGGAAGTTATCAGACAGATTACATGCAGCCTTTCCTTGAATAAATTGCCTAGTCCAGAAGATCCAGCTCAAGACCTCTTCCAAGAAATCTCTGGACTTTTCTCCTTGCCTGCCCTCCATGAGGACAGACACCATCTTTGCCTTACTGATACATCTGTAGCATCCTGCAGTGTGCCTCATAAGTAGTAATGTTTCAATACATACTTGCCGTGTGAATGAGTTTAAAAAATTAACTTGTATCTGATCCTAATGATCACTGTATACGAAATTTGTATAAAAAGAAAATTAGTGGTCACTGGTTTTATCATTGAAGCTTGTGTTTTGTAGATGGAAAATATCACAAGCAAATTAAAATAGAAGAGAATGCAACAGGTTTCAGTTATGAGTCACTTTTTCAAGAATACCTTAATGAGACAGTTACAGAAGTTTGGATAGAAGATCCTTATATTAGGCAAACTCATCAGGTAAGTGAAATGGACAAATAAATAATGAATAAAATATAATGTGTTATATATTATATAAAGTGTACTAGTTAGTAATAACTCATCTGAATGTCTTCCAGCTGTATAACTTTCTTCGCTTTTGTGAGATGCTTATTAAAAGACCATGTAAAGTAACCACTATTCATCTTCTCACCTCTCTGGATAAAGTAGGTATTTTAAAGAATTTCATTTTTCTTAATTTCATTAACTTTACTCAGTTAAAAGATGTAGTCAATCAGAGAAAACCTGGACATGTTTCAGCTAGGTCTGTTTCCTAGGGAGTTAACTTGTTATCTAACAACAGGCATAAAACATCCTGAGAAAAATGCTGTTGGTTTTAGTATGTTGACCTTGTATTTGGCCACTTCTAAAGTCTGTTTGTTCAAATAATTTTCATTTTATTTTCTTGGATGTTCTAGCAGTCAGTCACATTGTCTGCAATATTGACTGTTTTGTGTCTTCTTTACCAATTGCTTTTTTTTTTTTTTTTTTTTAATTTACTGCATTGGCCTTCTGGGGACATAGTAACATGATAGCAGGTGTCTCAACTTTGATTTTGACTTAAATAATTTTTAATTTCTTGGATTAATTTGAGAAGGGAGCAAGTACTTCTGAATGACTAAAAATCATTACTAAAATATTTGTGTACACAGTTGTATTATGTTCACATCAATTATTTTGATAAAAATAATTACTATTTAAACTACATTCTTTGGTTGCTTCTTTGAGACAGCAAAAAATTAAAACTAGTATAGCGTATTTCCATTTTAATTCACTTGTGATGCACATTGCACAGCTTGGAGATAATTTAAATTATTAGTAACTGAGGCAGAAAATTGTATTTTTGCTATTATAGGGCAGTGGGAAAGAAGAGCAAAGGAATGGCCTAGAAGAAATAAAAGAGTCACTTAGGAATCATGGTGTCCTTTTGGAATTAGAATACTCTTCTTCAATACATGACCGGGAAATTAGGTTAGTGTATAGAAATATTTTAATTCTTATGCTGTTGAAGTACAGTTTTTTATGTGTCTTAAGTTAGCCTTTTATATAATTACATATAAATATTTATAAATATTTATAAATCAAATAAGGGGAGCTCCGGTGGCATACTGCCTAAGGCATTTGACTGCTAACCAGAAGGCTGGCAGTTCAAACCCACCAGCCACTCCTCAGAAGGAAGACTGGGCAATCTATAGACTTCCATAGATATACTGCCTCAGAAACCCAAGGAGTCAAATAAAGCTCAATTTTAGTATCTTTTTAGTTTTGACAAGGAAAAAAAAAATACTTGGTTTACTTTGTGTGTTAGTTTAATGTTTCCTAATGGAATAAAATTTATTTGTTTGATGTCATATGAGAAGAGGAAATGCTTTTCTGCATATAGTGTTAAGGTAATAGGATAATTTTCTTTTCTAGTGAAGTTAATACTCAAGGAGCCCTGGTGGTAAAATGGTGAAGAACTAGGCTGCTAACTGAAAGGTTGGTGGTTCAAATCCATCAGTTGTCTATGAGACACTAGCTGCTTAGTGGTGAAAAAGATGTGGCAGTCTGCTTCCGTAAAGAGTTACAGTTTTGGAAACCCTAAGGGGCAGTTGTACTCTGTCCTATAGGGTCTCTGTGAATCAGAATTGACTCAAGGGCAGTGGGTTTTAACGTGATTTTACTTTTAATGGTTTATTAAAATATTCTAATAGGCACAGTATGCTGTGTCTGTAAGGAAATAGTATCTGCAGTTATTTTAGTGCTTTTCTACCTGTAGAGCATAGAGACTTACATCTGTATAGCAATGCACTTCTTCGTTTTAGTGAAAACATATGCACAACATAAATATGCAAAACAGATGAAAATGCAGTTGCTGTGATTAAAGCAGAGGTCTCCAGAGCTCCTCCCACTCCTGTTTCCCATTCCTAGGTAGGGAAAACCCTGAAACACCACCAGTCTACCTGAATATACTTTGAAACCACTAGTTAGGAGAAAATGACATTTTTATCAACAGGCTGAAATTCAAGAGTTAAGGTTTAATTTAATTTTGAAACTATCAATTAATCAAACTGATTGTTCTTATGAACATTTTATTTCATTGTAGACACAGCCCATGACTAACCTCAAGTTTGATTCAACTCATATCACTGGAAGAAGTGGCTTTCTTTGTTAGAGGAAATTTTGCAGACACTTAATATACTGCAGCTTTGATATTTGCCTGACTTACATGTCTTTAATACAAACTATATTCTAATTGCAATAGGTTCAACAATGGATGGATGATTAAGATTGGAAGGGGACTGGATTATTTTAAGAAACCACAGGTAGGATGGTTTCTTTGAGTGAATGTAGCATACTTTTTATATCATTTTTAACAACACTTTTTTCTCTTTTTAGAGTCGTTTTTCCCTTGGATATTGTGATTTTGATTTAAGACCGTGTCACGAAACAACAGTAGACATTTTTCATAACAAGCACACAAAAAAAATATGAATGGGCAGTGCCCTAATCTGCATCATGTATTTTCTTTTTTAAGTGACTATTTTTTTATACTTTGTACAAATGATTTTATAATGTAGATAAATATATGGATTTATCAATAAACTTGTATTTCTAATACTTTATAGATCCATGGTTCAATTGTGTGAACATTTCTAAATACTTTTGTAAATACAATATTCAGTAGATTTACAGTGCTGCTTTCCGAGTCATACAGTTAATTTAAGTATTTTACCAGCTTTTCTCTTATTTTGGCTATTGAAGAGTCACCATGTAATGAAGACAAAAGGATCTCTGGTGGTTAAAACATTAGGCTACTAACCAAAAGGTCGCCAGTTCAAACTCACCAACTGCTCTACAGAAGAAAGATGGGGCAGTCTGCTCCCTTGAAGATTTATAGCCTTGGAAACCCTATGGGACAGTTCTGCTCTATCTATAGAGTCACTCTGGGTTGGAATCAACTCGACAGCAGTGGGTTTGGTTTTTGTTAGTATGAAGATAAAGGATCCCTCATGGTTAAGTACTTAGCTGCTAACTAAAAGGTTACTGGTTCTTTCCTGCTCAGTGGCTTGGTGGCAGAAAAACCTGGCAATCTGCTCCTGTAAAGATTACAGCCTAGAAAACCCTATGGTGCAGTTCTGCTCTGTCACATAGGATCACTATGAATCAAAAACCAACTTGATGGCACCCAACAACAGAGACAAATAAGATAAGGACCCTGGATGGCATATATGGTTTGTGCTCAACTGTTAACCTAAAGGTTGGCAGCTTGAGCCCATCCAGTGGTACTGTAGAAAAAAAAAAAATGCTTGGCAGTCTGCTTCCATTATGACTAAGCCAAGAAAACCCTGTGGATCAGTTTTATCTGTAACACATAGGTCACCATGAGTTGACTCAACAGCAACTAAAACAAAATCAGTATGAAGATGAATTGGAGTGTTAATCTTGCCCATAGAGCCCAGGAGGAAGAATCATCATGGAAGAATCATCTCTTAAAAGGGATAGATTTGGGGGTCTAGTAACCAGAAAAAAAAATGTCAATGTTAATTCTGTCATAAGGAAGGTAATTGTCCTTGGCAGGCCTTCACTAGGTACAGTTTGCAGCTCATTCATTCATCTTGGTTACACATCTGTTAAACCTTTTAGTGTAGAGTCAGCTGCTGGGTAAGCTCATACATCTATGCAGATGCCAGCTGAGTGGCTGGGGACAAAGACTTGATTCTATGGAGAAGTAGGGGCAAGCAGAGAACACTGGAGCAGAGGAAAAAACCTCAGTATCTAGATCAATCATTGACATGTAATAAAGAACAACTGACGTGTTACCCTCTTAAGGCTGCAATGTACTATAAATTGGCATTCCTTAATGCTGACTGCCATGGAAATCTTTCCTCTTGCACACTTTTGCCCACAAGGCACGTATCATTCTGTCCCAGCCCCCCCTTACATTACAGTGAGAAGGGTTTTCACTGTCTCAGGTTCTCTGCATCAGTATGTTCCAGTTCAAAGTCTGATGCAGCAGATGCAGCTGACTGACAAAAGCCCTGGTCATGTGCCCACACCCTAACTTCATGGGAGGCCAGAAAAAGAGTTGACATTTTCACTTTCCAGAGAGGTGGGCTCTGCCTCCCACCAAGACTTAAAAATAAAAGAATTCCCCAAACATAAGGGGACACGTATGCTAAACTATATTTTAAACTTTAGATGAATCACGAAAAGTCCACAATTAAGCCTCACATATTTAGTCTCACATATTCAACCTTCTGACATTTCCTCTGGCATCTCAGAAGCTCACAAGTATTTCAAATACAACATCCTCAACTAAACTTTTGATATACTCCCTCCCATCCCCTGTATTTACCCTCATCCACTAAGTTGCTCAAATGAGAAATAAGAAGTCATTCTTGATCCCTTGCTCTCCTTCATCTCCATATGCAAACAAAGTTTTGTGGAAACTGCAAAACTAACCTGACTCCATCTGTTGCACGTGACACTTGATCACATTTCTTTTGGAACTTGAAGTCCTTAACATCCTTCACCTGATGATATACTTTCTCTTTAGAAAATACGGTATTAGCAAATTATACTGCTTTTTTTTTGTACTATAGCACACTACATGAGGAGAATATACCTTTTTCAGAAAATAATTTTCACATTTTACAACAAATGTAATGCTTAAAAATATGCCCATGACAAATGTATAGAGACTAAAATTTATTAGTGGTTATCAAGGGTTGGACAGAGGGAGAGAAGGAGTTATTGTTTAGGAAGCACTGAGTTTCTGTTTATGGTGATGGAAAATTTGGCAATGGATATTCGTGCTAGTTGCACATGATTAATGTGCTGTAATCTTTTTAAAGTGTCTTCTTACTGCACCTAAAATCCAGTTCTATGTCTGCTTGTCTAATTTTGCCCCTTTCTTCCCCTTGTTCTTACACATGAGTTTATCTATTCCTCCTTCAGTACCATAAATAAGCCTAATAAATAAATAAGGCCAAAAGGCCTTCCCATATGTTCATTCAACCTGTGTGGCAAATTCCAAAACTAGCTGCAATAAGATCTCCCATCCCAAAAGTTCTTTTTATAATATGACTTTGACATTCCTCTCAAGAGGTAGGGGTTAATGTTCCTTTCTTTGAATTTGGATGCATTTATGATTACACCAGAATTGATGCTATGTTACTTTTCAGGCTAGGTTATAAAAGGCAATACAGCTTCTGCCTGGCTTTACTGTGTCCCTTGCTCTTAGATTCACGTTGACTTATGTATAACAGAACTAAATGTTCTGAATTCTTAAAAGGTAAGGAAAACAGGAACTATTAGGTCAGAGTGTCCAATATGGTCTATGTCCCCAAAATTTAACAAAGGAAAGAACTGATGATATAAATGTGTGCAGGTCTTGAGATCAAGGAAGAAAGAGTATCCTACAGGTCAGGAGGAAATATAGATAAGGACAGGTGATAAACAATTTTCAAGTAGGGAGAAGTTACTGAAAGATGCTAAGACTTTTTTTTCTTTTTTTTAAAGGGACATGCAATGTACATTTAAATTTCTATTTTCTCATCTAAAGTGTCAATACTAAGACATTTACTTTGAATCACATTATTCCCTTCATTTTTTCACAGAGAATATTCCATTTACTATATAGTTCATGGTCTTCTGGACATGTTCTAAGTAATAAATTTGTTAGCATGGTAGTTTCGATTGGGCAAAACTTACTGTTAATAAAATTTGAGTTTAATTTGTCACATACTTCCAGTGGCAACCAATGACCAGGTGCTTCAATATTGCAGACTTGAATTCTTCCATTCTTTATATCTATGTATACTTTAATTTCCAAGGGTGACTGTCCATCTAATACAGTAAAGGAAGTGTTTATACTGAACTTTGGAGTTTTGCCATATATCCACTCCCAAGTTTGTAGTTCTTTGGCTTTGCTGTTGATTCCGGGAAATAGTGTCTCATCATCTGGGTTTATTAGGTTAATGTGATTATCAATCCTATGATAAGCAGCATACTTTGCAGCAACAGCATTCATCAGTGCTTCACAGGTCAGAGTGGGATCTTTTTCCAAAAGGTTTTTCACTGAGGAAGGTATGCTAGCAGTGGCATTGCTCTTGATTCCTTGGTAAGGACTCTTTAGCAAAGAAGACAGGACGGTCCCATCAGTACTACATAATAAAGTACAATGGTGATATGCAGTAGTCCGGCCAATCTTAGACGCGGTTCCTGAGATTTTAAACTGACCATCGAGTAAGAGGTCAAATCTTTTGGTAGCCTGCACATCCAGCTGGGGTTGGACAGTATTCAGAGCTCGTACAATTAACTTTAGATTTTCCATCCTATCATATTTGCTCTTAGTTGTAAAGAAAGTCAGATTGATATTACCCAAGTCATGATAGACTGCCCCTCCCCCACTTCTTCTTCTAGCCAGTTTTACACCTTCTTCTCTCATGAGATTCAAGTTACATTCTTGCCAAGGATTCTGATGCCTACCAATGACAACAGAAGGAGAATTTCTCCAAAAGAAAAGAATTGGATTGCCTTCTAGATTCATATGGTCATGGATCCAATCTTCAACAGCCAGATTTTGGTAGACATCGTTGGAAACTGACTGCAAAATGAGCCCACCTTTTACCATGTCTTTTAAGCCAGCTGCTGGGACCTTATGGTTACAAAGTAACTGGAAGCAATTCTTCATAGAAAATGTAATCAGCATGCTTTTAAAAAGGGAAAATAAACAAATTAATTGATTAAAAAGGAAAATTAAATTCTATTTTCTAGCCAACAATTCTTGGTTATTTAATCCAAACTTATCTAATTTTCTCAGTATCCAATCTAGTTGCTTTTCTTACCTTTTAGCCATATTACTAGGCTTTTAACAACTCCAGAATAGAGTACTCAGAGGAAATAAATGGTGACAAATGCCAAATATTTTCAATTCAAATGGAATAAGGGCACAGATGTCTCAAACAATAATTCTGCTGCAAATACATTATTTAACATATCCCAAAGTCAAACAAATTATTCTGAATTCACAAATAATACATGTTCATTGAGATAAATGAGGTAAACAAAAAGAAGAAAATAAAATCATTATCCCACTACCTGAGGACAATCACTGTTAATACTTTGGTGTGTTCCCATTCTTTTTCTGTGCATATCTATACACATACATATACTTTCTCCCACCAAAGGTGGAACCATGATACTATTTCATTCAACATTAACTATGTTTACAGCATCTTTAATTGTTGTGTGAAGGTGTCCTGGTGGCATAGTTGTTAATTAAGCACTCAGCTGCTAACTGAAAGGTCAGTGGGTGGAACCCACCAGCTGCTCTATGGGAGAAAGATGTAATATTGTTAGATGTCCCATAGTTTACTCAATCAGTGGTTTAGTTTATAATCTTAGATTGTTTCTAGTTTTTCTGTGTCATCACCAATATTTATGTGAATATCTGTGGACATCTCTAATTATTATCTTGTAATACTTTTTTTGCAGTCCCTGAGTGATACAAATGGTTAAGCACTCAACTACTAGCTAAAAGGTTGGCAGTTCAGACCCACCCAGAGATGTCTCAGATGATGAGCCTGGTGATTTGCTTCCCAAAGGTCACAGCCTCAAAAACCCTAGGTGGCAGTTCTACTCTGCACACATGGGGTCGCCATGAATTGGAATGGACGCCACAGCAACTGACAACAACAACAAATACTTTTTAAAAAATCCCACTTGACTTTGGGATACCTGATTTTTTGGAAGCATCATTCTTTAATTTAGATCACTAATAAATTAGGGTGGAGCTCCTGATATCAGGGTGCAAGGTGTTAGAGCATGAAGCTATAAACAAATCCATTATATCTGGACACTTCATGTAATTTTTGTTAGCAGTACTGGTAAAACACTAGATGACAAAAGATTGAAAATACTAGATACAATAATGAGGGATTCTGACTAGCTTTGGTCTTTAAATAAACCTTTCTATTCCAATTCTGTTTCTCAGGATGTTTACAATTTTCCCGTTGGCTGAAGAACTGGGATAGAATGGATTGTTAAAGCCCATGTTGTTGTAATTAGTTGCTGTCAAGTTGGCTCCAACTCATAATGACCCCATATACAACAGAACAAAACACAGCCCAGTCCTCCACTGTTCTCACAGTCATCACTTTTTTAACTTGTGGCAGCCACTGTGTCAATCCATCTCATTGAGGGTCTTCTTTCTCAGTGACTCTGCACCAAGCATGAATGATGTCCCTCTCCAGGGACTGGTCCTTCTTGATAACATGTTCCAACTATGTGAGATTGCATTGTGGTAGTTATGTTTGTGTGTCAACTTGGCTGGGCCTGGTTGAGTACCTGGGCAGCTGATGGTAGATTCCCCATGATGAGATTGGTAATCAACTCCGTGATGGAATCTACTGGGAACAGCTGAGTAGCTGCCTTAGGGAATGTGGTCTGCTTCTTGTATTTAAGCAGAAGCCTTGGGAATGGTCTCTAGCCTATGGCACGCTTGGACCCTGTACGTAGCCGTGTTGTTGCTCAGCAGCCTGCCATGCTCTGCTGACCTTGGGACTTAATGGACTGAAGTTAATGGCCTGCCATGTGGTTTGGTAACATCGGGACTGTGCCTTTTGACTTGTCAACCTCGGGGCTTCTCAGCTTCAGCAGCTTGCAGCTGTCTGAGTGAAGAAATGCCTTTAGCTCCAGTGGGCCAGGACCAGGAGGCAGAGTTGGACCCCAAGGTTGAAGGGCTTTCACCCAGCCCCTAGAGCCTGGCACTTGAACTTGGACTTAAAGCCTCCAAATTGTAAGAATAAACTCCTGTTTGTTAAGGCCATCCCATTTGTGGTATATTTCTGTCAGAGTGGCACTAGGTAAGCAGAATACGCACCGAAAAGAGTATGAACAAATCTATAAATAACTTTGTGTTCAGCTCATGCTTAAAGTATTTCTCTGGTACTTTTTCTCATGTGAGTGAATGTGATCTCTCATCAAAAATATCCAAGGATCTATTTGCATCTCTGTTCTTTATGTGGAAATATATTGCTAAGGTCACATTTTATTTTGGTTCTAAGATGAGGCTGGCTGTCATCTAGAAATACTGTTGGTATACTTTTTGGTAAGCTACCCTGGAGATACATGTTTACATTATTGCTCTTCCTCTCTTCTCGCACATTTGTCTGAGATTTGCTCAGGAAAATTGTGCTTGCCCTGGGATGGTTAGAAGGGTTTTATTAAAAAGCTACATCTTCGGGCATCTCCTGGTCACTGATGTGCTGCAGGAAGTGGCCCTCACCTACTCACTTCCAAGGAGCATTCTGGCTATATTTCTTCCAAGACACGTTTGTTTGTTATTCTGGTAGTCCATGGTACATTCGATATTCTTCATCAACACCATAATTCAAAGGCATCAATTATTTTTCAGTCTTCCTTATTTATTGGCCAGCTTTAACATGCATATGAGGTGACTGAAAATACCATGGCTTGGGTCAGGTGCACCTTAGTCCTCAAAGGGACATCTTTGCTCTGTAGCACTTTAAAAACGTCTTTTGCAGTAGATTTGCTCAATGTAATACACTGTTTCATGTCTTAACTGCTGCTTCCTTAGGCATCGATTGTAGATCAAGTAAAATTAAATCCTTGACAACTTCAATCTTTTCTATGCTTATTATGACATTGCTTATTGTCCAGCTGTGAGGATTTTTGTTTTCTTAATGAGGTGTAATCCATACTGATCTTCATCACTAAGTGCTTCAAGCCATCTTCAGGTTTCAGCAAGCAATGTGTGTCATCTGTGTATCACAGCTTGTTAATCAGTCTTCCTCCAGTGACGCTGAGTTCTTATAGTCCAGCTTCTCAGATTATTTGCAACATACAAGTTGGAAATATTTGGTAAAAGGATACAACACTGATGCTCACCTTTACTGATTTTAAACCACACAGTATCGCCTTGTTCTGTCTGAACGACAGCCTGTTGGTCTATGTACAGGTTATTCATGAGCACAATTAAGTGTTCTGAATTCCCATTCTTCGCAGTGTTATCCATAATTTATTATGATCCACACAGTCTAAGGTATGTGCCCAGTCAATAAAAAAGTCAGACATCTTTCTGGTATTTTCTACTTTCAGCCCAGATTCATTTGAAATCAACCATGATATCCCTCATTTCACATCCTCTTCTGAATCTGGCTTGAATTTCTGGCAGTTCTCTGTCAATATACGTTGTTGCAACTGTTTCTGATTATCTTCACCAAAAGTTTCCTTGTATGTTATATTAATGATATTGTGTGAGGATTTTCACATTCTGTTGGATCACTTTTCTTTGAAATAGGCACAGATATGGGTATCTTTCAGTTGACTAGCTAGGTAGCTATCTTCCAAATTTCTACGCATAAACGAGTGACCCTTTCCAGTAGTGCCTAAGGCATCTGACTGCTAACCAGAAGGCTAGTGGTTCAAACCCACCACCCACTCCTCAGAAGGAAGGTTGGGTAATCTCCTTCCATAGTGATACTGCCTCAGAAACCCAAGGAGGGGTTGCTATGAGTCGGATCCTACTCGACAGCAGTGAGTTCAGTTTTTTGGTTTTTATCCATTTGTTAAAACATCTCAATTGGTATTCTGTCAATTCCTGGAGCCTTATTTTTCACCAGTGCTTTCGGAATGGCTTGGATTTCTTCCTTCAGCAACATTGGTTCTTTATCATATGCTACCTCCTGAAATGGTTGATTATCAACCAATTCTTTTAGGTACAGTCACTCTGTGCATTCTTCTGTCTTCTTTTGATGTTTCCTGCTCTATTCAATATTTCGCTCATAGAATCCTTCAATATTGCAACTCAAGGCTTGAATTTTTTCTTCAATTCTTTCAGCTTGAGAAATGCTGAGCACATTCTTCCTGTTTGGTTTTCTAATTCCAGATTTTTGCACACTTCATTATAATACTTTACTTCGTCTTATATGGTAATAGGAGCTCTGGTAGCATAGTGCCTAAGGCACTTGACTGCTAACCAGAAGGCTGGTGGTTCAAACCCACCAGCCACTCCTCGGAAGGAAGGTTGGGCAATCTACTTCCATAGTGATACTGCCTCGGAAACCCAAGGAGGGGTTGCTATGAGTTGGGGCTGACTCAATGGCACATAACAACAACAACAACATGGTAATACTAAAACACACAATTAGCCAAAATTCTTTATTAATTTATTGGAAGTACAATTGCTAGGTTGAAGAGTCTTCACATTTTCATAACTGTTGATATATTTTGATGAATTATTCTGTAGAAAGGTTGAATTAATTCACACTTCTGTCACAAAAGGTGTAACAGAGGAAGGGATACTTGAAATGAGTCTTGAAATTTGACATTTACCAGATGGATAAATCAAAAACCAAACTCACTGCCATTGAGTTGGATCCAACTTGTAGCAACCCCTCCTTGGGTTTCTGAGATGGTATCACTACAGATAGATGTAGATTGCCCAACCTTCCTTCCCTTGAGTGGCTGGTGCGTTTGAACCACCAGCCTTCTGGTTAGCAGTCAAATGCCTTAGGCATTATGCCACCAGAACTCCTACCAGATGGATGGTAGTAGCTTATTTCAGGCATAAGCAAAGCAAAGAGTCATCTAATACAGTAGTAAGGCATATACTGGGGACACAAACCAGTCTTCTACCTCCAGTGAAGCCTATGGCTACAACGTCCTAGGAAACCTCTGCTGCTAGATTGC